TCCCCATGGATTTGGAGCCCTCCCCAGGGATCCAGAGCATTCCCTGTGGATCTGGAGCCCTCTCCATGGATCCAGAGCATTTCCCATGGATTTGGAGCCTCCCCTTGGATCTCGAGCCCTCCTCACAGATTTGGAGCTCTCCCCATGAATTTGAAGCCTTCCCCACAGATCTGGACCATTCCCCCCCAAATCTGGAGCCCTCCCTATGGATTTGGACCATTTCCCAAAGATTTGGAGCTCTCCCCAAAGATTTGGAGCTCTCCCCATGAATTTGGAGCCATCCCCACAGATCTGCACCATTCCCCACAGATCTGGAGCCCTCCCCACGGATCCAGAGCATTTCCCATGGATTTGGAGCCTCCCCTTGGATCTCGAGCCCTCCTCACAGATTTGGAGCCCTCCCCATGGATTTGGGGTCCTCCCCACAAATCTGGAGCCCTCCCTATGGATTTGGACCATTTTCCATGGATTTAAAACCCTCCCCACAAATCTGGAGCCCTCCCCACGGATCCAGAGCCTTTCCCATGGATTTGGAGCCTTCCCCACGGATCCAGAGCCCTCCCCTCAAATCTGGACCCCTCCCCATGGACGCAGAGCCTTTCCCTACAGATCAGGAGTTCTCCCCACAGATTTGGAGCCCTCCCCATGCATTTGGAGCCCTCCCCATGGATCCAGAGCATTTCCCACAGATTCGGAGCTCTTCCCATGGATCTGGAGCCCTCCCATAGATTCAGAGCATTTCCCATGGACCTGGAGCTCTCCCCACGGATTTGGAGCATTCCCCATGGATTTAGAGCCCTCCCTACAGATCTGGACCCCTCCCCACAAATCTGGAGCCCTCCCTATGGATTTGGACCATTTCCCAAAGATTTGGAGCCCTCCCCAAAGATTTGGAGCTCTCCCCATGAATTTGGAGCCATCCCCACAGATCTGCACCATTCCCCACAGATCTGGAGTCCTCCTCATGGATTCAGAGCATTCCCCATGGATTTGGAGCCTCCCCTTGGATCTCGAGCCCTCCTCACAGATTTGGAGCCCTCCCCATGGATTTGAAGTCCTCCCCACAAATCTGGAGCCCTCCCTATGGATTTGGACCATTTTCCATGGATTTAAAACCCTCCCCACAAATCTGGAGCCCTCCCCATGCATCCAGAGCATTCCCCACAGATTTGGAGCCTTCCCCACAAATCTGAAGTTCTCCCCATGGATTCAGAGTATTCCCCATGGATTTGGGGTCCTCCCCACAGACTTGGAGCCCTCCCCATGGATTTGGACCATTCCCCACAGATCTGGAGTCCTCCTCATGGATTCGGAGCATTCCCCACAGATTTGGAGTCCTCCTCATAGATCTAGAACCCTCCCCCCAAATCTGGAACCGTCTCCAAAGATGTGGAGCTCTCCCCATGAATTTGGAGCCCTCCCCATGGATCCAAAGCATTCCCCATGGATTTGGGGTCCTCCCCACAGACTTGGAGCCCTCCCCACAAAATTGGAGCCCTCCCCACGGATTTGGAGCCCTCCCCATGGATTTGGAGCCCTCCCCATGGCTCCAGACCCCTCCCCACAGACCCAGGGCCGTACCCATGCAGTTGTTGCCCCCGTTGACCTGCATGTACTCCGGGGGGCACACGCAGGTGTAGTTGCCCAGGGTGTTGTAGCAGGTGCCGGGGCCGCAGATGCCGATGTGGGCAGAGCACTCGTCGATGTCTGCGGGGGAAAGGAGTCAGAGCAGAGGGCAGGGGCACAGAGGGGCACGGGGACAGGGGACAGGACTGGCACAGGGACAGGGGACAGGACTGGCACAGGGACAGGGGACAGGATTGGCATCGGGGATTTGGCACGGGGTGGGCTGGGGGCAGGATTGGCATGAAGGGACAGGGGCAGGATTGGCACCAGATTTTGGCATGGGGACAGGAGGCAATATTGGCACAGGGACAGGGGGCAGGATTGGCACCAGGGACAGGGGACAGGATTGGGGTTTGGCACGGGGACAGGGGGCAGGATTGGCACCGGTGGTTTGGTACAATGACAGGGGGTAGGATTGGCATGAAGGGTTTGGCACGGGGACAGGGGACAGGACTGGCACCAGATTTTGGCATGGGGACATGGGGCAGGTTTGGCATGAAGGGACAGGGGCAGGATTGGCACCAGGGTTTTGGTACAATGACAGGGGGCAGGATTGGCACCAGATTTTGTCACGGGGACAGGTTTGTGACAAGGAAATCTGGAAGGGAAAGGGGAAGGGACGATCCSAACCAGGGATTTACAGCCGGGATGCACACACAGCGCTGGCACATGCTGCCATTGTCCTGTCACACACACGGGGTGCCAGCCCTGTCCCTGCCCACTGTCCCCAGTGCCACCCCTTTCCCTGTCCACTGTCCCCAGTGCCACCCCTGTCCCCAGCCCCTGGTGGAGGTGCCACCCCTGTCCCCAGTCTGTGTCCTGGTGCCACCCCAGCCCCTGTCCTGGTGCCATCCCCTGTCCCCAACCCCTGTCCTGGTGTCACTCCAGCCCATCCCCAGCCCCTGGTGGAGGTACCACCCCTGTCCCCATCCCCTGTCCCCAGTGCCACCCCTGTCCCCACCCCCAGTCCCAGTGCCACCCCTGTTCCCAGCCCCTGTCCCGATGCCACCCCTGTCCCTCCCTGTCCCCAGTACCCTCGCAGATGCGGGTGTCCTCGTTGAGGTAGTAGCCCAGGGGACACTCGCACTGGAAGCTGCCGAAGGTGTTGACACAGTTCCCGCCCTGGCACAGCCCCGGCAGCTCCTGGCACTCGTCGATGTCTGAGGAGGGGACAGCAGTGGGACATTGTCACCGCCTGTGCCACCCCCAGCCCCGCTGTTTGTGCCATCACTC